CCACTTGGGGGGCACGCTGCAATGCGCTGGAAATATTGATGCTCAACAACATGCTCAGGCGAGGCATTGTAGGGAAAAAAGTCTGATAGAGCAGTGCGCTGTACGCAGCTCGAGGCATGCCAGTTGCAGAGACCTGTCACAAAATAAAAGCCAAACCAGAGCAAGCATACAACTGCCTACAACTGGCTTGTGTTCAGTTCGAGGCCAGGTGCGTGCCCGACTTGCAGCGCGTGGTCAACGCGAAGACAGAGGTTTTGCAACTCCTCGACCATGAAAGACTGCGCGCGGACGGTTTCTTGCACAGATGCAATGCGTTTATGGGTATTGTACGCCGTGCTGTCTAACTCGTCTTGCATATCTCTTTGGTGAACGAGGCGCCGCTCGAGTGCGCCTACGCGTTGTTGCAATTCATGCATGCGATGCTCGAATGTGGCCATGCGAAGCATCATCTTGCATTGGTCTGTCAGAACGCTGTGCACGATAGCTTGCTGGCTGCGTGTTGGTGCGAAGGGGTCCGCGAGAGTTGGCTGAGAGAAAGGGCTGTACCTGTCTGTGCTTGCGGATGCTGGTCTGGGTAGCGCTTGGCCGGACGCATGCGGACCAATTGCTAGAGCGCTTGCCTCGTGTGCATCAACTGAGGCTGCAGGCATGCCCGCCCCTTCAGGGTGTTCAACTGAAAAGTCGTCCTCCGACGCAATCACGATGGGCTCATGACTAAAGAAAGCTGGGTAGGCTCCATCAGAGGGCGCGGGTGGACGTGTTATTGCTGCTTTGTAGGCGAAAAAAAGACACAAATCCAATGCAAAGAGTGTCAGAAAGTTTGCTTAATGGCAGGAAAGACTTCTTTCATGCAGAAAGACCTGCTTGCCAAGCTACGGAAGACACATGGCATGTTTGCAAGCAATAAGACAAGTGCACGACTAAAACATGTATGACCAAAAAACAAACATGCAACACATATAATGATTTGGAAGACTACTGAAACTTTTTGAAGTCTGAGTTCTCTAAGGAAGATCTGTCAGCGCATTTTGATTTTCTTGAAGAGATTCTCAAAATGGTCCATTTTCTGTAAGCATTAAAATGGAAGCATTGAGAAAATTCCTCTTGTTATGATAGAGATTGTTTCTACTGTTCTGGAAGAGGGTCTTAAGAGAACTAAGGACGTTCCTTGCCGCAGCAGCCCACCAGAAGAGGCAAGCGTAGCCCAAGTTGTGGAAGCCCACTCAGTGGACTCATTCAGAAGTGAGATGACTCCATTTGTTGGCGATGAAGTTGACCGCGTGTGGGATCCCAATAGCCCATGTGGCGATGCATCATAGGAGGAACAAACGACTCCACCAATGGATGAATCCATCCCAGTAGAAGTTGATGCATCTCCAGCAAGCCCATCCAATGGTGGGGAACCGGAAGAGCTGGCTTTCTTCGAGCGTTCGGACTCCTTGAGCTCCCGGCCAAGAGGGGGGCGTCATAGGAGGCGATGAGAACTATGTTGACTCCCATTTTGAAAGACGAGAGGCAACATGCCATTCAAGGGGAGAAAACCAAAAATGGTCTTCCAATGGAGACTCGCTGTTTCAGCATGTGATTAAGTGTTTTCGAGACGTGCTGTCATGCCAGCAGTATGGGGGACCTGCATTTATCTCCCTAAGGAAGGTTTACCGCTGGAAATCGTGCTGAGGCTCGTAGGTATTTTGAAGAGCAATTTGGTAAACTGTGGAAGGATGTAGATCCTAAGCACCATCCGGAGGATCCTACAGGAGACTGCATGGTTGCTTGCGTCATTGAGTGGGGGCAGAGTCAAACCCTGGGAAGACGGTCAATTCACCCAACAGCTGAATATGAGTATCAAATCACAGTCAGTGAGATCCTCATGCCCGCAGGGAGCGATAGAAGCACTTCTCTTATGACCTGGGGATGATGACAGCCATCCTGTACTTTACCTCAATCAGAACCCGACCACTGCACGTGACAGAAGCGTTTCTACTCCGCGTCTCCAGAAAAGTAGACCGTAACGACAGGCAGGATGGGCATCGACGGAAGGGATTCGCTGAAGGCACTCAGAATGGCCAGGGCAAAGGACACTCAAAAGCCAAGCGCCCGGAAGCAACAGAAACACCACCTAAACAATTACCCCGAGGCAACAGAAACACCACCTAGACAATCACCCCGCTAAAGGCAAAGGCAAAAGCAAGTGAACCTGCAGCGAGCTCTGAAACCAAGGCACCTTCCACAAGGAAGCATTGGATTGCTTAGCTCCAGGTTGCACGTGCCCTAGGCTTTTTCAAAAGAAGGTAAGGGCTTAGGTTCTTGCCAGCCTTAGGACTTTCCTTCTGTACAGTCGCACCGCTTCACTTGAGAGATTTGCGCTTGATTGAATTAAGAACACTCCTGTTTTGATGCTGTCATGCTCATGTACAGACATGTTACCACAACCTACTTGTTGTGTGCC